ATGTCAGATTTGTGTCCATTAACTCTTTTGCGTAGAGACTGTCCGGTTTGGCCAATGTACATGGCAGAGGGCATTGCTGGCACATGATGGCATATATCACATTGGTAGATGTGCAGGTGAACGAGCCCCTGATGATTTGGCTGATGTGATTAGGTCCTATGATGATGTCACTTGAATAGCACTCCGGGGTGTGAAACAAAGCACCGGGCTTTGTTTCACATCCCGGAGTGCTATGGTACCAACCGCCTGTGGCTCATACTTGGTGGGTGAGAGGGGTCACAAATTAACACAGTGAACTGGGCTTTTCAGGTGCACGTTTATTTGCCAAGGGGAACGGGGAGGGAATGACCAGCTCTGCCTATCTTTTACAGTAGTCAAGTACTGAAAATTGGAACCCTGCTTGTCTGGTGAGCTATGAAATGCCATATGATGTAGTAATAGCAACAGAACGTTTATAATGCAACCTTAATGTAATGAGCTGCTAAGCTGCATTAAACTAGTGACCTAAAAAGCCATTTAGGAAATAGCCAACCTCTCAAGTGTGCTTGATTTTCAGGGACATCTCGGACTTTCAGATATTTTCCTTGTCCCAGTTCCATCTGGCATCCAGGGCCCTTGGATTTAAACAGCAGCAACTAATTGAAAGTAACATTCATGCTCTGTTTTCTAAAACACTGCCATACTCAAACCACTTAAATGGGGAGAGCACTTTATAACTTGTCACCAAAGAGCTTTTGATTCTAGTCCTTTGTCCCTAATTTATATGAGTAGCATCCATATATTTCGCTCTCGCTGCCTCAGGGATGTGATAAGATTGAGCAGAGGATTTCCTGAAAAGGTGAACGGCAAAGGATTGCCATTTTTTTTTAAAGATTAAGTTCCAAAATGTAATAACAAATGAATACAAATGAAAGAATGCACTTAAATCCAGATTTTCAGAATTACGTGGACATGCATAGTCTTTGTGTGCAATTACCACAATTGTATATGCAGCCATGCATATACACAATTGCATATGCACATTTTGTGTGTAAATGCATGCACAGATTTTGTGCATGTGGTTGCTTATACTAGCTTCTGAGACTCTTGGCTATGCCACTTAAACATGATGCGGAGAGGTAAATTTTGCAAAAATGAAATCTCAGCTCCATGCTCAAAAATGGTTGGTCAGTTGTGTTCCTTTGTTTTGCAATGCAGTTAGAGCAATCGTTTATGCAAACTGGGCAATTACATATGCATTACATGTTTAGGTATCCAGACTACAACTAACCAGAAATATCAAAGAAAAAGCCCATTATAACTGCGTTTTAAGACCACAACGGGCAAGCAGTAGTAGAAGATTGAGACAAAACAAAGTTATGATGAAGAGGCCTGCCGATAAAGGATAATCATTTCAAAGGCTTGAGTGATGAGTGAGCCATGCAAAACCTTGCAAACTTCCATATTTGCATGTGCGGATTGGCTAAGTGCATATGCAGCTTCTTGTCATAGACCCAAGTTTGCATGGAGTACAAGTTTTCAACCAGTGTGTCTTCAAGCCATTGAAAATATGGCCCAAATGTATGCTGTTGGATTGCCCAGAAGTGTAATGATTATTGCTACCATCAGGCTGGGCCCTGGCCTCAAGGAATTGACCATATTGTAGGATATTATGGTATATATGCCAAGATGTCTACCCAGACTCACTCACTAGGTCTCTATGTGCTTTCCGTTCTGCTGCAGACCACGGCCATGGTTGTTGTATTCCTGTAATAAGTTGCCAGTTTGGTTTCCATTGGGTCTCATGATTTTTCCCGTTTTTTTTGTTTGTTTGTTTTTTCTCCTGCAGCTTGCCCCACTATCAGTTCCACTGAAGGCTCTCTGCAAGGTACCTTACTAGTTGTCAGTCCCAGGTGGGCTCTGTCATGAATGTGGAAACACTGTCTGATCCTGACTAACCTTTAATCTGCATCGCTGTTACTAAAGCTTGCCTGGCACACATTAATGTCATCTTCCCCACACCCAGAGTGCTGTTGCCGAGTCGGAAAGTCTGATGCAGGAAACCTGGGAAAGCTCAACAAATGTCTCCACCCAACACCTTCATTTCCTTTCCCTTTCCCCACCACATTGGGCAACAGAAATAAATTTCCCTGTTGTACTGAGAATCTTATTTCATCCATCCAAGCTAGGTAGGTAGATTTATGCACCTCAGCTCTCCCATCACCCACCTGTGTCAACCTTTTTGGGGGAACAGCTAGCGGTTAAGGTTGGGAATTGCAAAGCCCCATAGGAAGTTAGGCATCCAACTTCCATTGCACTACCATGCAATTTGTGTGCCCAAGGCACTTAGGCTCCTTCAGTAACCCCAGCCTAAAGGTTTTCCCCTTTCCCTCCCACAAGGTAATCTCTGCAGGTTGTAAAGGATGTAGACATGCCCAGGGTTTCTGTCAGGACTCAAATGGTATATATTTAACTAGGGGAACTCTACTCCCCATTTATCCTCTTTATACACTGTAGGACCCATTATATATAGTTTGCAACCTAGAAAGTGACTTGTACTGCCTATATGGCAGCCCCAGCCCCACATCTTCCTAGAGAGATCTAGTGGTCAGGGCTCCAGCCTGAGATTCAGAAGACCAGGGTTCAACCCCTAGCCCTGCCAGAGTCTTAGAATCATAGAATATCAGGGTTGGAAGGCACCTCAGGAGGTCATCTAGTCCCACCCCCTGCTCAAAGTAGGACCAATCCCCAGAGATATTTGTGCCCCAGATCCCTAAATGGCCCCCTCAAGGATTGAACTCCCAACCCTGGGTTTAGCAGGCCAATGCTCAAACCACGACTTCTTTGAGTGGCTTAAGATACGACATTTGAGCTGGGAGATGTGATTCTCAGCTCGTGTAGACATACCCACACTAGCTCTGGTTGAGCTAACACCTAAAAATAGCAGTGTATCTGTGGTTGCATGGGCCACAGTTCAGGCTAACTGTCTGAGTACATACCCAGGGGTCAGGCAGTGCTCGGGGGAACCATCCATGGTGCTGTTGACACACTGCTACTTTTAAGTGATCGCTTGGGTGGAGCTAGCGTGGTGAGCTGGAAATCACCCCTCCCAGCTCAAATGTAGAAATAACCTTAGTCTGTCTCTGCCAGAGTTCCCCATCCATAAAATGGGGATAATGATAATTGGACTTCTCTGCCTCACTGGGGTGTTGTGAGGATATAGACGTCAGAGACTGGGAGGTGCTCAGATCCTCTGGTCAAGGGGGCCAGATAAGTATCTAAGATCCATAGACTGCCCTGTTTGACCTCTCTCCCCACATTCCTGCAAGACTACTCAGTCTGTGTACGTCCAGGCCAAACTACTCAAACCATAATAGCCAAGCAAACATCTCTTTGCCTGTATTTCTCTGTAACTGCTTTGCATGATACAGGTGATTCATCAAGAGAAATAGCCCAGTGCCTTAGCTGTTTCACTGGTGGATTAATAATATGGTTATAACTGTAATTTAAATTTTGCTTTTAAACGTTGTTATATTTGATATGCATTTTAATGGAGGTGATGATATGCCAATCCCAGGGTTCTTAAATCACAGAGAAATGGGTCTGAAACCGGTCAGAATAATCTGATGAACACTCTGTCGCTATGCAGCGTTTAATGTGCATTAGAGCAGCCCAAATGCAAAATACCCACCAGAAGCAAGATCCAATCAATAGCAAGTGGTGCTGAGGTGGCAGAGTACAGCTTGAAAGGGAAATGATGTGATGAACTTGTCCCCCTTTCTCTTTAAAACGAACTGGTTATCTCCCCTCATCCTCCCCAGCCTGCTGTAAAAAAAACCCGAGTGCAAGGTCTGTTTGTATTAAAATCTGAAATAAGAAAATGACTCATAGAGCTTTAATGATGAGCTGGGAAAGAGAGATGAAGCTACATGAAGCTGGAGATGAGATGTCAAAGATGTCAGGGGAAAAATCTTTGTAGACCGCGTAAGGCAGGGTCACCTCTGGGCAGTTCTTGAAAAATGATGAGAGAAATGGAAATATTTTACTTTACCAACTTTCATGCCTCTCGCACATGAGAGGATACATTTTGCAGCAGAGAATAATTCTCTCTTTTTTCCCTTCCCTAAACAATTACTGGAGAGAATCCACTTCTTTTATGATAATATTTGGCATCAAGTTGAAAAAGCAAAACTCATTATAGCTTGTGTTTTTTCCAGAGCAAATTTTTTTAGTTTTTTTTTTAATTTTGTTGATTTTTTTTAAAAAGTGCCACTCTTATTTATTAGGCCTTGCTACAGTGGCTGAGGCCCTTGTGAACAGTAATTAATTCATTCCAAGAACAAATAACACAAATATATTTTTAAGGTTCCTAGGTGACAGACTGTATTTACCTATCATTTATAAAACTCAAGGATGCTAAAGCAAGGAAACAAATAGTTAATGACCTCCTGGATCTTACACTGCTCACATAGTGAACAAACATGTCATTTTTCTCAAATGTAAAAAAAAATAAAATCCTATTTTATCATAAAACAGCCTTAATTCTGCTCCATAATAAATATTATTCAGTCATCATTTATCTCAAAATAAAACTTTTGGTTGCATGGCCAGTGCCTAATCAACTAGGCCAGTGGTTCTCAAGGCCGGTCCGCTGCTTGTTCAGGGAAAGCCCCTGGCGGGCTGGCCGGGCCGGTTTGTTTACCTGCCGCATCCACAGGTCCGGCCGATCGCAGCTCCCACTGACCGCTGTTCGTTGCTCCAGGCCAATGGGAGCTGCAGGAAGGGCGGCCAGCACATCCCTCGGCCCGCGCCGCTTCCTGCAACCCCCATTGGCCTGGAGCAGTGAACCACGACCAGTGGGAGCCGTGATCGGCCGAACCTGTGGACGTGGCAGGTAAACAAACCGGCCCGCCCCGCCAGGGGCTTTCCCTGAACAAGCGGCGGACTGGCTTTGAGAACCACTGACTAGGTAACACTACCTTCCAGCTAGCTCATTCAACCTCTCTGGGCTTTTAATTATCTCTGCTGAAAAACGTGTCTAATGATAATTCTTTTCACTTGCCTAGTTAGTTTTCATCTGTGGAAGACAAAGAATATCACAGGGGTGAGCATTGCTACCTCCATTCGGCAGGTGGCCTAACCAACACAGATCTGAATCATTTTGTATGGTCTGATGAGTAGTGAAAGGTTGACCACTTCAGGGATTGGGTTCTGTTCCCACCAACTCTGCCACCAACTTTCCCTGTAACTTTTAGCAAGTCACTTAGGGCCGGCGTTTCAAAAGTGCTCAGCCCATTGTTCCAGATGGGTAGAATTTGCAGTTGTTCCCAGAGGCGGGAGCTGGGTTCTGGGCACTTTGGAAAATCTAGCCTGAAAATTTTCTGTTCCCTGCATCTGGAAAATGGATCTGTGAATATTTCTCCTAAGCCAAAGTGGCACTTTGATGAGAAACACAGAGGATTCAGGTCAGAACACTGACACAGTATGGTGAGTGTTTTGATCAGGCTGATGATTAGTTATACCTACTAGCCTTCCTCCTTACTGGAATGCACTTGCCCTTGGAGAAAACAAAGCGCAACCATTGCTCAGGCAGATTCCTTACAAATCATTGTTTTCCCTACTATCTCTAAGTGTTTCTTTCTCTGCCCTTCTCTGGCTGCTCCAGGATTTGACATGATGGAAGCTTTTGGACTGGTGGAAAAAGAATATGCCTCCATTAAAGGAGTGGCCATGGAACCGTATGTGTTCAGCGGGACCCGTACTTACACTCTCTTCAGAGATATTCAGCTAACCCAGAGAACAAGGTAGTTTGGGAAGGCAGCTGAGAACCGCATTGATTCCAACAAGAGTTTATTCTCTGTCTAGTGCATAAACATTGGCTCTGGTCCGCACAATGAAAGGTATTGACTGGTGGGGGTGGGTGTAGACACTGGCCTAATGAACACTCAACTGGCAATTTCCTAGTGAAAATACCATGAATGCTAACCCCACCCTAGTGAAACTGAAAAGAATGCAATGATTTTTTCCCCCTTAGAAGACATGTATTGTGTGCTGATCCATAAATCAACCCCTGAATTGCCTCAAGATGGATCACATGATGGGACATGTCACATAGGAACTTCATTGAATACAGTGGGGTGATTGGGGCGTTGAGTTTTTGCAAGGCCAAGCTCAGATTTTAGGTGTCTACTGGGACCTTCCCTGTTTTAGCTGTGTGCCTTCAATATCACTGCTGTCCAGAATTAAGTGCTCAAAGACAGCATGTGCTGACCATAGAGTTATGTTTAACTGTTCTCTGTTGGGGATACATTTAATTCTTTCCATGACCGCTCCTCTCCTCATCCACATGCACTCAAAAGATCAAACTTGGAGGCAAAGCCTCCGCTAGAAACATGTTTGGGGCAGGACCTTTTTAACCTCTTTCCCCCTTTCTCCTAATGTTCCTGGTTTGCAGTCCGACAATTACTGTTGTAAAATACAAGTGCATAGCTGCACTGGGCAGCTTGATTTTGATTGACAAGAAGGATTAACCAGTGACTTTGGAATGCGACTTCACTGTGCACCTCGTTAGTTGGGCTCCTTTTCAAAGTCCTATGCATCGTCATGGGTCAACTTTCATTCCAGGCAGCGCCAATGACCCCAGTAGCATTATGGAGTATAAATCAGGGGAGATTTGACTCTTAATAGTCAGTTTTATTTTATTTTGAAGCCTAATTACTACAGCACTGGGATAATTTTAATCTTATTTAAAGAAGCAAAGCTTCTTACAGTAAACAGAGTAGGGGAATTCAGAAGGCTCTAAGTATTTAACAAAGCATAGAGCAATCCATTTGCTCAACCAGTAGTAGTATCAGATACACAAATATGCCCTTCCAAGGACATTATATCATTTAAAACAAAACAAAACTTGATGTCATGTTTGAAGCAGTCCTGAAAAAAGAGGTTGAAGAGTTGTGTATCTACTCATGCAAATGTGGCCCATGCAGATTACGAATGTATCTGCAACATAGCTAATTTTGCTTTCTTCATTCAGTTTTGACCTATGCCTTTTGAGTGACATTTGCATGCAGTAAGTGCTTTCTAACAAGTTTGGAGCAGAAGCCTAGAAGAGAAAGCCAGACTTTCTCAGGAATCCATGGCTGGACTTGTTACGTGTCCGCTCACGGGTTTCATTTTTGAGTCCCAAATTTCACAAGGGATCTTAGTATGGCTCATGTGTCTTTTTGCAAGGGACTTCTAAGTACCTCTGTCAAGGCCTGAAAATCTTCCCCTAGTTTTCTACCCCATCCATCACAGCCATCATTCATTCTTCTTGACAAGGAGTTTTGGATAGAACTCTTTCAGAGCCCATCAAAGTAGCTCGATAAGCTACCAGAAATGTCTCTTTTGAATGATGCAAGACTGCATTCACTGTCTCTTCAGCATTCCCTGCCCCAACCCAGGGAGTGACAGATTGACCATGATGACTGGACCCGGACCTCCCTTGTGACGCTACGATAAGGCCACAGGGATGCCCTGCACATGCAGAATTCTACATGTGTTTTTAAAACCCAAGAGGAATGTACAAAATACGGAGCACATTCTCTAGTGGGGTAACTCCTTCAACTTCAGCCGAGTTACAGCAGCAGAGGATCTGGCCCACAAATGAGCCTCACTCAGGCCATCATGCCTCGGTAACACCACTCTGTCTATATCTCAGCACTGTTCTGGTTGTCAGGAAGGTAGACTATAAGCCCCCTGGCATTCATAATCATTAGTCACTGAGCTGACTTCTGCTTGTCTCATTCCAGTGAAGTGCTTCTCTCTGGGATTCCATCTGCGCATACCATCAGCATCCTCCTCCGGCTCCTCCCAGAGGCTCCCAAAGAGCCCTTTGCTGTGTGGCAGCTAACAGATGAGGATTTCCAGCCACTCCTCGGGGTTATACTTGACTGTAAGGTTTCATGTAGTATAGATCAGATTCAGGTATTTGAAAGAGTAACAGAACCAACTTCTATACTCCAGTTGGACAATTTTATTATTGAAACTTGCCAATGTCCAGCATGAACGTTACAGAAGCTATTGAAATAATACATGCAAATATTTTTCTGTATAGTTAAAAACTCGAATTTTATTTACTACATTTTGCAATGTATTCTTCACTTTGACCATTATTTTCCGTTTTTGTGCTTTTATAGCTTGACAAGTATTAAATGTTTTAGTATGTTTAAGCTTATATATTTTTTGAACATGCTGTAGGTGAAATCACATTCTGTTTTAATTCTAAGTTCTTATTTGTCCTATTTTCCCCCTGTAGCCAGTAAGAAATCCTTGACCTATTTCAATCATGACTACAAGGCTGATTTACAGGAAGTCACCTTTGACCAACAGGAAGTGAAGAAGATATTCTATGGGAGCTTTCATAAGGTCCTTATCAAGGGATGGAGTAACTTAAATCATTATCTCACAAGGGCAGGCTGAGAAAAAATGCACTCAATATATATTATTTGTACTGAAGAGTGGTTATAAGAATGTTCTTTAAAAAGTCATTAGCAAATTGGCCAACCTGTTTGTGTTGATTTGCAATTGTAAGGAATTTTGAGTCATCCCATATGAAAAATACATATTTTCCAAGTATTATTTCTTAAAATGCATTACATAGTTAGATGTACTTAAAATACATGTGAGTATATGAAATATATCCACACATTACAAACTTGGCTAATTGACATATTTAAAATGCAATATTTGGTGGAAACATGAAATGCTACAGTAGTGAAATATATATAATGTATGTTGAATCATGCACTTCCTTTTTAAATATGAAATTTTTGCCAGTTTTGTACAGTATAAATATTTTATATATTTTCATAAAAATGCTTTAGCAAAGATATAACCACCCTGTGAAAAATATGTATTTTTCTCCATAAATGATGTATTAGAAGAGCAAACATAGTAGTTCATTCAGTTCACTCACTTTGATTTTAATATTGCCCCGATATGTGTCTCTCAACTGATCTGTTTATTGGAGTGTATGCCTGTCCATTTATGATGCAGTGTGGTAGTTCCAGTGGTGCATAGCATCGTACTTATATAATTGCACGATCCTTTTTTCTCTGGATATATAGTTGAAATGCCACCTCTGGTCCCAGCCATGTGAAGATTTAAGCTTTTAAATAGTTCCTTTGAAGTCAGTGAGACTACTTCTGGCCTATTGGCCTTAAAGTTAAATGTATGTTTATGTCTATGCAGAATCGCGGTCTAAGTGCAAAAGAATTTGCGAGTCTTTGTCTGGTCCTGATGCACACCATAAAATCACCACTCAGTTTAGCAGAGGGAATCGTCTACTTGAGAGGCAAAGGACTGGGAATGGCTGATTGTAGTATGAACTGGGGTTGAGGTGGATATGCCTAATAGTAGGTGTTTGTGGGGGACATGGGATAAGCTGTGAAAGGGCTGGACAAGCTAGGCTCGCATGGGGTTACAGGTCAGGGTGTAGGTGCCCTGGCATAGCAGTGCAAGGGGATCTTGCCCAGTGGCTGTCTGCTCTATTCCTGGCTCTAACTAGAGACACCGGTTTCTCTTCCATACCCATCACTTTCTTCCTCATATAAGAGTAAGAATTAAAAAGGGAAATGTAGGAAACAGGAAGGAACTGAAGTAAGGCAATTGGGTATGTGATAGACCCACAGTCTGTCAGATGGGCACAGCTATTCACTCTACTAACCCATAAAAAGGTGAGTTGCCATGGAGCACATTCTAAGGCAATATAGCCAGTGGATATGCACAGGTCTAGGACCCAGGAGACTTTGGTCCAATTCCCAGCTCTGCCACTGACTTGCTGGGTGACCTTGGGCATGTCTCATCCCTTCCTGTGCCTCAATTTCCCCATCTGTAAAAATGGGGATCATGATATTGACCTCCATTCTAAAGTGCTTTGATCTCTAAAGATGAACAGCACTAGATAAGAACGAGGTGGTGGTATTATTCCCAGCTGAAGTGCCAGAAGCAATCGTTTTTTAAGTGCAAAGTTGAGGGCACCTGGCAGATTTGTCAGAGGTTGTTAGAAATGAGGCTGTTTTTTGCCTTTTGATTTGGGACAACAATGTTACAAAGCAGTGGAAAACAATGGGTTTTTGTGGCGCATCCTTCATACATGATCCATAAAACACTTTTGCCGAGATCAGCCCTAACCTGAATAGAAGGGGGTGGTTGTAACAAGATTTCACGAAGAGAAGTAACTCTGTGTTCGGGAGGCTGGAGAGGAGGATGGTTAAAGATAGATGGGTCAACACAAGATAGATGAGGGGGATTTGGAGACAGGGAGAAATGAGGCGGAAATGATGGAGAGCTGGGGCACTATAATTTCTCACCTTGTCAAGACAGAATGTTCTTTTTTTCTATTGCACTCCCCACAGCCTCTATCTAGGCAGCAGGCACTCCTTAGGGGTTTGCCTCATCCAGAGTAGGTAGTGTTTTATTCTTGAATGCTTCTTGCAAGAGGTCGGAAGAGTGTCTTCCCTCCCAGGACCTTCCACGGTGACTTTACCTTGACACAATGCAAGCCTTGAACACTCTCATTAAAAGCCCAGTGTATTCAAGAGGGAGTAAAAGGAAGGGTCTGCGTAGCACAGCTTGGGCTCTGCCTGGCAAGATCTCAGCTAGGTAGGTGCAGTTCAGATCATTATGGAAAAGAAGCCGTGTCACATTCACAAAGAACTCATCCTCTTTCTCCTTGGGCCCTCACCTTGGGCAGTTTGTCACCCTGCAGGTGACTGCCGTCCAACCTGGCTCCTTGCACGGCTATGCTTTTCAAGTTTCTTTCATGTGCCTGACTTATTACCATCCTCGAGGCCCCTCACACAGTGGTCCCCCTTGTAGAGACACTGGGGGACAATATTATTCTGTCTCATATTTTTCCTAAAGTCACTCCCCAGGGTAGCTGCTGCACTGGAGATGCTGATTAAGTCCTGGTTTTACTGCACCTTCCAAAACTTGAAATGCTCCTTTGAAGGTGTCTCCACACAGTCCTTCCTCAGCCCACCTTATTACTCCTATAAGCATCTCTCTCTTCCCTTTCTTCTAGCTTATGACCAGGCTTTGGAATATTAATGATCTTGGCTGGAGGTGTCAACATAAATCCAACTTGGTCTGCTTTAGTTTAAAGAGGCAGGGCTTGCTTTTTGCCTTTTAGTTCCCTCTGAACTTTGTTTTTCTCTGTCTTGTATATGAGTTATTGTCATATTAAAGGCAATCTGTCACAGTCTTCATTGCTAGGTCTAAAACGCTAGCAGGTCTTGTTTGTCTTTTTTAATTTGACGAAGAAGCTGCACAATGAGAGAGAGAGAGAGAATTGAGATGGACTGACAATCAAGCCCCAAATCCAAACACCCTGATCTATGAGTACATTCGTTCCTGGCTCCAAACTTCACAACTGAGTCCTCTTCCAGTCATGGAGTCAACAAAAGCTGCAGATCTAACTAGTCTATATATCTATTTTAGGTACTTATATGGCCACCATCACCATATTATCTGAGTGCCTCACCATTTTAAAAGTATTTATTCTCGCTCACAAGAGTAATGTGAGGGCAGTTCCACTATCCGCCTTTTACATATGGGAAACTGAGGCATAGAGAGGCAAATTGAGTTGCCCAGGGTCACACAGGCCATCTATGGCAGAGCAGGGAATTCAATCCAGGTCACTCAAGTCCTAGGCTGGACCACCCTGCCTCCCTCAACTATGGCACATGTCCCATCTAGATTAAGATTTTTAATTTCAACATGGATTCATTCCTAATTGTGAGTGGAGACAGGCAGTCCATTTTGAACCTTTACGGACTTCTCAGGTGGCTAAAGCTGCTTAACGTTTGACCGTGTGCCTTCCAACCCCCTGAGCAGACCCCCAATGGCAGGTATAATCACTCAGAAGTGCCATGCCTGTCATGTACAGTATTTGTCATGATGAAGGCAGGGATTTCAGTCTCACTGAAAGCTACAGTGAAGTAGGCTTCCAAAAACGCCTTTCATGGTGCTTTAAAGCAACGACTAACACAGTGGGGATTTCACGTCCCATCCATCGATCAGTATACTCTATACTGCCTATTACCTTAAATATCCTGCATACATTATCACCTTTAAGTGTTTTTGTTAAATATTGAAGAGAAAAACACATTCTTTTTTTCCCATCTGTACCAAACATCCTCTTTGTATTTGCTGTTAATAGCCACTTTCCAAACAGAATAATAACGGTGAGACCGAGAACAGCACTAGAAGATTATAAAAGAAAAGCCCTGCATTTTCATGTGGGGCAGAAAGAGAGATCTTTGTGTTAAAGCAGAGGCCTTTCCTAACGTAGCTTAGGGACTGCTAATGGGGTATTCTTTCACCACTAGTTAACCACTTCACATCTGGGCCAGGTTGCTAATGACAGTGTAACTGGCTGGGAGGGAAAAAATAATAATTCCCTGCACCCCTCTATTTAATTAATTAATTAATCATTTGAAATTCAAAAACTTAGAAAATGTTAACTTGTTTGACTGAAAATCAGGGAACTTTTTTTTTTGAAATTTTCATGAAAATTGTCCAACTTTTTTTTTTTTAATTTAGAAATTAAAACCCTCCACCCAAATTAGCACCTTACAACTAGACCTGAGCAAATAATGGACTTTTTGGTTTGGGAGTCAAACTGAAAACTTTGATGGGGGGGCAGGGGGAGGGAAGGTAGTTTGGTTCCAGCTGAATCAGAATTTTTTTGTTTGATTTGAGTCAGACAGAACAATTTTGGGGACTTTTCATTTTGTTTCAGGTAATTTTGGGGGTGTTTTCTCACTTTTTTGTTGTAAATTAGCTATATTTCAAAACAAAACACTATTTCATTTCAAAATGTCAAAAAATTTTGTTTCAGAAACGTCAAACCAAAATGATTAAACCTTTTATTTTTTTTCCAAACTAAAACTCTTTGCTGAATTCTACCCAAATTCATGAATAGTTGAGGAGTTTTGAAAAAATGCATTTTTCAGCAAACTTACTATTTGCCAAAAAAAAAAATTGCCCTGCTCTACTTAACAACTGTGCCAGTAGACAGCCCATGGACTAAACTAATTATGGAGGCTGATCTACTTCACATCAGAACTCCAGGAATGGCTTCTCCAGAAGAGGGTTGACATCCAACAGTGGGTTCCTTTGGCTCTTTAGGTGCAGGCAAAGTCTGATTAATTGTATCTCCGTTTACTCAAACTCTTGGTTATCCCGAGCTCATGTATGTCTTTCAGGGTTTGACTGTACAGGAACTGTGCTCCAGCTCTCAGCCCCATCCTGCGTCCCTTTTCTCCATCCCAAGAGCTGGCCTAGAGGAAGCCAAAAGTCCTGTGCTCCAAAGCCCTTCAATGCATAAAGTGGGCTGTTTGTTGTTGTTTTGACAGAAACAGTGTGCAGAAGCTCATAGCACTTTTCGCCATCTTTACTGACACTGTTATGGGCTGAAGGCTTCCGTGCACAAGGATTCCTGGCTTGCTCAGGGCTGGCTGGGGGAGAGGCCTGGGAATCTGAAAGAGAGCTCTTCTCTTGCATAGCTCCGAAACTCTGCAGGATTATTGGGGAGCTGGCTCTCCCTGGGAAAACTGGCCCCCTGTTCATAGTCAGGGGAGCTAAAAATAGGAGATCCTGAGTGCAGACTTCAGTGCTGGTTGGACTAGCCCCCTCCACCCCCCAAGTCATCTGAAACTTTGATTCTCCAATGGTTTTGATGTCCCTTAGGACAAGGTATTATTGTCCATAGAGGAGTTCACCCTCTAGGGCTTTCACCCAATATCATTTGTGATCATTACATGCACAAAAAAAGATGCCTTTGCTTGCCGAAGTGGATATGAACTCTGCCAGATACATGATTAAAAAGAATCCTCCGTCCAACAGGTGAGGTCTGACACATCTATTTTTAATTGTTATCCAGGTGCACATAGCTGTGAGCCGTTTCAGGATCAAACTCTACTTGGACTGTAAGAAAATAGCAGAGAAACTGATCAATGCTATGGGAAGCGTCTCCACAGCTGGCTTCATCATGCTAGGAAAACTGACAGGAACCAGAGGACCCAGGAGTGGGTCAGCAGCGGTAAGTCCAGTGTTTATCAGTTTTAATTAGGAGTCTTGTGTCTAAATTCAGGGTTGGATGGGATACAAATCAGAATAGAATTACTGTCCCGTCTCCCCATTGCTCTTGTGTTGAGTTCCCCCTGTGAAGTAGGGAAGTGTTCTACACCTATGCAGCTTTGGAAATCTGATGAGCATTTTTAATGCAATGTTTTGCATTCTCTCCTCCTACCTTTGGGAGTTTGTGATGAGATGTAGCACAGCATGGGTGTGCCATGCAGCCACATCAGCTCGCACCGTGATCTGTGGGTGAGGAGCTTACACGGGGCTTTAATACTACATAGTCTTGAAACCTGAGGACATACCGATCCTGTTGCATTTGGCTGAAAAAGGCAGGAGGGTTACTAGATTGCTTCTAAAAGAGAAGGCTTTCTACATCCGCTCCCATGGAGTGGCAGCAGCCACATACTAGTAATCACGGGGGCAACACAGTCAGATGGGTTTCATTTAGTCTAAAATTCTCAAAAGTGCATTGTCCCTGAATGACTGTCCCTGAATGACTCTAAAACAATACTCAGAGCAGTCACCAAAAACCCCCTCTCAACACCAGACTCAGCCACTTTTGCCCCATAGCTAAAGGAAAAAATAAAATCTTGGCTTTGTGCCGTGCCCTGAAGATCAATGGTCTTGGGCTGATTGACCCATGGGAAAAGCAAGCACCAGAGACAAAACCCACCCTGAATCTGATTCTTCATTGCCTTATACCTCATGTTGCCATTTACACTGCTGCAAAATAAGTGTAGAAACACTCCAGTGGCTGATCTGGTAGTGTTTTATGCCCCTTGGTCCAGATCCTCAAAGGTATTTTGGCACCTGACTCCCATTGGTTTCCTGGGCATGATTTGCACTGGTTTGAATGATTACACAGGGTGCCGGGCAAGGATAAATTAGGCACCTGCTCCACAGCACTCTGACCGTAGATGTAGGGGGTGCAAATAAGAACAGATCAGCTGAAGGCAGCATTGCACAAGCAATCTGGCCTGTCTGTATTGCATGCAGCCTCAGCTAACACCAGGAGGAAGTGGAGTCATGCAACGTACCGGGAGAAATGCCATCAAAGGAATGAGCTGTATGATATGGGAACAGATTCATAACAAAGCAGGATTCAAGCAGCTCTAATTTTATTTGCCAAAGAAATACTGTGGTGGTTTAGACTGACAGCAGCCCTGTCAGATCTCTGCCTTGGAGGAAAATATCCTCTATCCCTCCCCAGTTTTTCCTTTTAGCAGCTTAGCTAGCTGGATCCAGTCATTGAAGAGCTACTAATGAACAGCCCAGACCTTCTCTACTCCCGTCATGCTTCAAGCCTAACGAAGTTTCGTGTCTTCTGCAGCTCTGCTGCCCTTGAGGAGACAGAGTGCCTCATTACTGGTTATCATCAAACCTTATTTAAGACATCTCTAAGTGCCATTTGATGTATGGGGCTCATTTTATAGCCGGGTGCTGCACATCCCACTCCTCCAGTCGCACTGCTCACTCATCATTAAATGCTTGGGGGGGAAAGATTTGATTTGGTAAAAATGGCATTTTTAAAAATTGTGGGTTTTAAATATATCTCCCCTCCCCTTTTTTTTTCTTTTTTTGGTCTCATGCTGCATTTGCCCTTTTGCTAATCAAAATGGAAAGATCTGGCAGTCTAGGGAGAGGCTGAGAAGGAGGGCAGATTTATTTGGAGGGGGAGGATGCATCTCCCAGGAATATCTGCTGTTTTTGTTCTCCTACCACTTTCTTGAGTGGCAGCAGAGCAAAGTTGTCTTTTAACATTTTGGTTTGTGCTGAAGCCAATTAGCTGGGGCTTTGGGAGGGGCTGCTGCTGAAATGTGAGTAAATCAGAAACTGAGGGTTTGTTAGCATGGATGAGCTTACAGAGTTCACTTTGCAAGGCTCTGGCCTCAGAGGCCTGAGACGTGCAATGCCGTCCAATGACCAGCCGCCCCTTCTAAATTCTGTATCCATTGCCTTGTGTCTGCAGTTTGTACAATTGCCTCTGAAAGAATGTGTCTGTATGGGCAGTGGGTAGGGGGAAGGGGAGAAAGCTCACGATAGTCTCTTACATAAGATTATTTTTACATTCTACTGCAACCAGAAGTGGCCAAGAACTTACACAACTTCCTGACAGACCACTCTGCGGCTTGCAGTAGGATGAGCTATTATTCTCATTGGCATCTTAACAAGACTTGGCGTGAGCTATTGTTGGGAACATACAATAACTGGGGCATTAGCCTGCATAATTGCTGTTCATCAGGACACCTGGAGGCACTATATTTAAAAAAACAAAAAACTGTGCAGTTCTATCCTTTTTTCTACACCTAAATTCTTGTTAGGGGGCCTCTCTTCTCCAACAGCGGGTTGAATAATTATGTATGGCTATGGAAATGGCAGGTTGCACAGCCAACCCACCTGTCACATTTGTTACTCTTCTCATGACTCGTCTAATTCTCTTTGCTCCACAGTTCCAGCTGCAGTCTTTACAGATTGTTTGCAGTGCCTCGTGGGCAGAGGAAGATAGATGTTGTGATCTCCCGGCACTGGTAAGATGTGAACGACCGATGTGGTCATTGGGATGAGACTGGGGAGTTTGTCAAAGGAAATGACACTTTAAATAGAATCTTGGTAGGGCCAAAAGATGAACTTTTATTTTTTCCCGAGAAACTGATAAAACTAGCTAGAGCAAAGGCCAAGTGAGTCTGCGTCTGGTCCCAGTGAAATTAATAATAAAATGCCTGTTGGCTTCAGCAGGTAAGAGAGCTTCTCAAACACATTTCCACCAGGGCACGTAATTCCTGACTTGAATCAGATCTGCTAAGCCAGCGCTGTCACACAGCTCTGCTATTGGCCTTCAGTTCTGAGTTATAACTCCAGCCGGTTGGAAATTTTTCTGATGAAACGAAGCTTCATCGGAAAATGCCAATTCATCAAACCTAAAATGATTGGTGAAAATAGCTTTGGGGACCCGTTGGCCCATGAATCTGAAAGCCCCAAGGTCCCTGGCCTGGGATAGCCTGCATGGGACCGCCAGGAGCTACTGCCTGATATTGACATTCAGCGGACAAGAATGTCAGTTTTACGAAGCAGGTGCCAGGGTTCTGGCACGTATATTTGGTTTTGGAAGTGCCGTGTGTCAGGTTTCTGAAACTTTTTTTTCTTGGGATTTCCAGTTTGTGGGAACTTTTGATATTTCAAATTCTCCCGTGAACCGGAAATCCCGAATTTGTCAGTTGAAGTTATAACATTCCTCTGCTATTCCTTTCCGCTCCTGGGCTTCTACTGCACACACAAAAATTATTGCTCTTGAACTGAGAGGTGGTTTGTTTTGTGGGCAAATATTTAGAAAAGAGTAGATTGATTGATTGTTTTCCTCAGGATATATTTATTGTAAATTTCAGTAACTATAAAATGTTGGGCTGGTTGGAAAATGTTCCTTTTTAAATTGTTTTTTATCGAAAATTGGGTCTTTGATTAAACAGTGTTTCACACAAACCATCTGCTATCTGCAGAAAATTTTGATTTTCACTGAAAAAATGAATGCTCAAAATCCAAAAATGTTTTGGTTTTGAGCTTAAAACTGAAATACTTCAGATGAAAACCAAAATATTTCAATTTGAATATTGTGTCTCAGCTGGACTTATTATTATTATCTCCCATAATGCACCACGGCCCTTGGACTCCAATGAAGCACTGCCTCATATCATCAAGAGGGGAGACCATGGTGCATCATGGGAAATGTAATCCAGCTAAGTACTAGAATGATAAAGTAAAATTTTCAGCAGTGCCTAAGTCCCATGTTCAAAAGGGACTTAGGAGGCT